TGATGCACTAAAAAGTAGAAAATAAATTATAGACTACTATTTAAATAACTATAAAGAAAAGCGTGGGTCACTTTAGTATCTATTGGATACCTTTACTAATGTTAAGGAAGACACCCACGCTTTTCTTTATAGTTATTTAAATAGTAGTCTATAATTTATTTTCTACTTTTTAGTGCATCATTACATAAAAGCTTGTTATTAAAACGTTTTTTATGAATTTTTTTTTCAGTACTTTACATGTTTTATTTACAATAGAGTTACATGACTAAAAACCATTGCGCGCCTACTGAACATCACGTTCAGTAGGCGCGCAATGGTTTTTGAACGCAGCCATTGAAGCTATTGAAGGTGATGACGCGTGTGGTGTGGTTGGCTAGACATGCCTACTAATTCGGTCCAAATTTTAATTAATTCATAAAAAATTAATTAGGCATCCAATTAAGTCAAATTTAGTTTCAGATTGCATTGTCTTCATGTCTTGACCCACGTGCCAACTGTGAATCGTATCGGTCAAGTAGAACTGTCCGAATTTTCACTCCTGCGTTTCCGTCTAGACAGACAGACAGAGGAAGTGAGTTAAATAAAAGCTTGTAAAAATGATACAAATTTTAAGCAATCGGAAAAGTTATGTTATTACAATGAGACACGTAAAAGCAAACACTCTTCCCTTTCAAACATCTATATCTATACAGTCCTCAATTAGTTTTTTTTTTCCTTTTTAGTTTTTTTTTTGTTTTATTAATTCAATTGTTTTAAACCTTTAGATCAGTAATAATTATTTATTTGATAGATTTTACACAGCATCAAAGACATGAACATCAATTGCATATATAATAATCAAATGGAGAAAATAAAATGGCATAAGAACTAGACTAAAATAAGGTGTGCAAACTAGGTTTCTCTTGACTGCTTAGTTTACTGTGCTTTGTCCTTAGCTGAGGAGTCAAAAGTTCACATTGTAGCCGCCCATGGACAGAAATAGAAACGACCTTGGGAGAAGTGTCTCTGCAGTACACATACTGATCTATCATTCCAAAACTTTCCATGACATAAAATTGACCCTTGGCAAAGAGGGCACGCTACCTTGAAAAATCCGCCAGTCAGGTTGAGTGGGGGGAAGTGTGTGTGTGTGTGGGGGGGGGGGGGGGGGTGAGGTGTGTATCTCTTTCTACCATTCAGGTTGTGCACTTTTAAAAACCTGGGAAACAGAAGACTGTTCTAATGTTAATTTACTTGAGGGCTGATCGAGTGATGTTTAGCTTGAGACTGTCGATATTAATTATGCATCTAGTTTATTTGCTTCTTCTGTAGTTCAAATGTTAGTTTCCTGTAAAAAGTAGGATGTCAATATTGTGTTTATTTATTATGTTGTTTATATAATGTGTTTGTCCCTAGCCCCCCTGATGTTCAATGTTGCCAGAGTTAGCATGAATTATTTGGGGTTTTCTTTCGAACATCTGTTTCTGGAGGGCTGGATGGTGGTGGTCTTTTAACGCCAAACTTTCCAGCCGCTGGTTTGCTATCCCGTTTGGCACTGGTCACGACCCTTTGAGGTGGCTTTACTGTAGGTAATTGATTTTTACTTGAACTGATTGCTTGACTATATGACAGTTGACCTGATACCTTTGTTGCTGATATACTTTGTGAGCTTTTAATTTTCTTTAGCGGTTTCGTTATGTTTTCTGAACTAGTGTTATCTTGAAGAATATCATTTATTGTTTCGTCGACAGCCTCCAAATTTTCTTGATTCCCATCTTTTTGAGACCCTGTTACTATGGAATTTCTGATCGCTATTGTCTCCATGGCTTCGGCCTCTATGGTGGTTTCTGTTACGCTTTCGTTAACTTGCTGTGATGCTGCAGTAGTATGATGTGCTTCAGTTTGGCCATCTACTCCAAAGGCATCTTCTACCTCTCTATGCCTTGCTTCTCTAAGCATTTCATTTTGTCTTTCTCCGTCAACATCATAACTGTCCCAATGCTTTAAGAAATTTCTATTGTTACTTAGATGCTCCCTAACTTCTTCTTTATCATTTGCATCCCAAGGCTCAATTGCCCTGTACTGTCCATCTACTAGCTGGACGCCGTCAAGAGCGCGAGTCCTCAAATGCTCACACATTTTAGGCAGGTGTCTGAGTTGCAGTGTACAAAAATCCAAGTAATTAATAACTGTTCTCTTCATGATGGATCTTTTATAATGTGTAGTTCGCGTGAATTGTGGGTATATAAAGTATAAATATACAAATCTGTTCAATTGAATAAAGCTACTTAAAAACAATAATTTACGGTAATTATTCATTTCTTTATGATTTCAACTAATACCAGCTACAACCTAATTTAACCCTTCAAATCTATTTATAGACTTTCAGAACGTGTAATATTCTTAAGAGTGAGTGTTACTCTCACCATTACCTCCCCTTATCCCGGTTATCGAACCTGACAAGGGCCGTAACTAAAATTCACTTTGAGTCCATTATATCATTAGGTGCGTGCCGTGACACCGGCAAGTGACCAGGAGACACGAACCATTAGGTCCCGCCCCTCTCAGGGATGTTATTTTGTTAGCTTTTGTTCAGGAAATTTAATAACTGCGAGGTACGGGGGGAGCGTGTTGTGTTGATACGTGTGTGCATGTGTTTTGGGGTTGTATGGGTGTATGTGTATACGTGCTTGTGAATGTGTGAATCTCTGTGTGTATGTGTTTCTGTGTGTTAGTCAACGTATGTGTTTCTGTATAATTGAGGTATACAGGTGTTTTCATATGTATGTGTGTACGTATATTTGTGTGTTTGACTTACGAAGCTTTAGTGTTTACACGCCATTAAAATATCACTGGCCTGTATCGTCACCTGAGTCAAGACCGTAGATCCCCGATGCTCGTGAGATACAGCGCGTACATTCATTTTTCCATTCATAAAACGTTACAATCTCCACACGGTGGCTCACGTTCATTGCTGAACTAACTTGACATTTAAGGTTTGAATGGATGAGACAGACCACATAAATCATGTAAATTAGAGATATATTGTAGAATCTACTGCAGCTGTTCCTACAAAATCCTCAAGCGACATTTGCTAGGAGGTACTACAATTTTGGACTGGTCATTTTTTTCCGCACCTTCATATCACATACGTAATATATATATATATATATATATATATATATATATATATATATATATATATATATATATATATATAACTGCAGAATTACACATTTTAAAAGATAATTTAAAATACAAAAGTAAATTAAAAAATAGAATCCATTTTTACCCGGTAATGAATAATTGTATAGTGGAGTTTAAGACAAAAATGCAGAATAGAAGAAGCAACAATATGGCGGTTGTAAAAACTATCAAATCCTTGAGATTCCTGCTTCGATTATATTAAAATAAAATGAACTAATTAGTCGTCAATAAGGAAACAGTGAATTAAATTTAATTTCTACCCTTGGCCTTTGTAATCGATTCTTGTCCCATTCGTGAGGTTAATTAAAATCTGATAACCCATTGATTTTCCTCGTGAAATTATGCTAATTACGGCCAGTGATATGTCATTGTCCCAACTAAATGCCATCTTTTGTGCCGCATGAGCTAATGATGCGGAGGGAGTGTCCCAATAACAAAGGGAACCTACTCTCAATGGAAAGATTTGTTTTAAGCAGGTTAGAGCGAGATTTGTGCGGTTATCTTGACAGTGGCCTAGATTGGGACGGCTGGAAGTAGGCTAGCCATTCAGTGTGGTATATATATATATATATATATATATATATATATATATATATATATATATATATATATATATATATATATATATATGAAGACGCACCTATGATGAGATGACCTAGGAAGACGGCCAAACCCGTCGCCCTTATAACACAACGCCTCCGATTACTGTTGCCACAGTTGTGTTGTAACGAAATAAAAATGCTATTAATTTGATTTCAAGGCCACAATTGGCTGTAATGCCAGGCGCCCCCGGGGTCAGATCCTAGCGTGAGCTGCTTTATTTCTGGCCGGTCGCTGGTAGCCTGGGGGTCACGTGACAACCACGTCATAGAGGCAACGTGTCGATCAAACACGTGATCGTCTAGCTGATGCATTGATAGGTTTATTTTCTTTGTAGTATAAAGTATAAGCTTTGAACAACCCCCCCCCCCCCCACCCATGTAATCAGACAACAGGCGGTAACGATTATGAGTATTTTTTTTAAAAAATGTTTTACTCAAAAAATAGACCTGTTGTTGACTAGATGCATAAGACGTTTGAATCAGAGGTGGTCGATTTGTATAAGGCTAATTATAATGTATACAAACACAAGGAGTTGATAGTGAATGGAGGAAAATCAATAGACCGTGTCGTTGTATATTCTTTACACGGAGAGTTACTGGGATCCAGAGAGTTGGATTAGGTGTATGCACGTTTTGTTACCATCTAATGATGGGGGGGGGTGCATGTTAAGTAAGTGGGTGTATGTTTAATGCGTGGGAGTATGTGTAATGAGTGTATGTGTAATGAATGGGGGTATATGTAATTAGTGGGATTGTGCGTGTTGAGTAGGAGTATTTCGATATGTCATTTGTTCTGAAGTATCTATTCTATCTTCTCTATAACTGTTCTTATACCTGAAGACATATTTCTAGCATCTTTAAAAAGGTCTGCATCTTACAAGTGGCCATTATAGAGATAAATTGGGAAATATAAATACTTACTGTTGCTCAGTTGTATGAATAATAAATGTAAAGTTGGGTTTCGATGCTGTTCTAGCACTCTATGCATACAAATTAGTAGTAACGATAATTTATATGTATTTCACACACAATACGGGTTGCTTCCATACAACCACAATATATAACAGCTATTTCTAGCGTTTTGTTTTACATATTGGGTTGAATGCCCAATCACTATGTAAGTTAAATTAAAAAGTTTACTTATTTCCCTCTAAGGTTGAATGCCCAATCACTATGTAAGTTAAATTAAAAAGTTTACTTATTTCCCTCTAGGGTTGAGCAGATATGAAGAGCACTGTGGTGGATGCTGGTTGGAGATGGATGACCTGGTCAACACACTCAGGTCGGACAGCTACAATCACAGGGGTAAGTCTTACAACCACAAGGGTAAGTCGGACAGCTAAAACTACAGGGGTAAGTCTTACAACCACAGGGGTAAGTCTTACAGCTACAACCACAAGGGTAAGTCGGACAGCTAAAACCACAGGGGTAAGTCGGACAGCTACAACCACAGGTGTAAGTCGGACAGCTACAACTACAGGGGTAAGTCGGACAGCTACAACCGCAGGGGTAAGTCGGACAGCTACAACCACAGGGGTAAGTCTTACAGCTACAACCACAGGGGTAAGTCTTACAACCACAGGGGTAAGTCGGACAGCTACAACCGCAGGGGTAAGTCGGACAGCTACAACCACAGGGGTAAGTCTTACAGCTACAACCACAGGGGTAAGTCGGACAGCTACAACCACAGGGGTAAGTCGGACAGCTACAACTACAGGGGTAAGTCGGACAGCTACAACCACAGGGGTAAGTCTTACAACCACAGGGGTAAGTCTTACAGCTACAACCACAGGGGTAAGTCGGACAGCTACAACCACGGGGGTAAGTCTTACAGCTACAACCACAGGGGTAAGTCTTACAGCTACAACCACAGGGGTAAGTCGGATAGCTACAACCACAGGGGTAAGTCTTACAGCTACAACCACAGGGGTAAGTCTTACAGCTACAACCACAGGGGTAAGTCGGACAGCTACAACTACAGGGGTAAGTCGGACAGCTACAACCACAGGGGTAAGTCGGACAGCTACATCTAGCCGTGTAAGCTGGTGCCATCATAGTACCCAGTCCTGATTCAAAATCGTAACAGAGTGCACATCAAATATTACACTATACTTTAAGACTTAAGTCTCAATCTACAATACAGGAATCAAACTACAATACACAAAGCATATTTTAATACGCAGCTACTTTACACAACACAAACTACAATACACAAAGCATATTTTAATACGCAACTACTTTACACAACACAAACTACAATACACAAAGCATATTTTAATACGCAACTACTTTACACAACACAAACTACAATACATAAAGCATATTTTAATACGCAACTACTTTACACAACACATACTACAATACACAAAGCAGTATAATAAACAACAAACTAAAATGCAAAACACGAAAGTACAGTACACATTACGCTACAATATAAATTATACAATAGAAGGGACAACGCGGCCTAGCGGTAGAGCGCTGAATCGCTAACCCGAAAGTCTCGAGTTCGAATCCAGTTTTAAGTAAGCAGAACGTCCCTGAATCCACCCAGCTCTGATATATAGGCCTACCTAACAAACGATATGGGCAATAAAGGCGGCTGGGGGAAGTGCTGAACACACTACCCCTACTTATGCTGAGGTCACAGAAACAGGTGAACTCTACTTCACTTCTCCAATGGACCGTCAGGTTCGAAAAGTGAACGTTATAAAATACAATACGTATTGCAATACACAAGACATACTACAACACACAAGACATACTGCAATACACAAGAAATACTCCAATGCGCATGTCACTTTGAGTGACGTAACTACAGCTCCACCTATCCTCAGGTGAAGACCGCCCGGAAGAAAGCGGGGAAACCCTACAACTACTGTCGTCAAGGTTACAGCGTCAACTATTCAGAAGGTCGGAACCGACAAGTCTAGAATGTGAGGTGTGCTGGATCGTCCTCAACCGGTTAAAGACAGCTATCAAGAAGGACAGCGAAAAAGGTAAAATCTGGTCAATATATCGTAGCACTAATCAAATTGGGTTGAGGGGACTGCATTAACGGGTGTCCATTTAATTTCAAATGGCGTTTTATTGGTACCATAAGTTACGCATGACTCGTGTAACGAAAGTTTCGTACTACGACCGACCAAAATAATGACGTATCAAATACAAACCTGGCTTAAAATCAAACAATAAGAGAGTATAAAAAAGGCCCAATCAATTGTTTTTACAAAAAGAGTTATTGATTTACCTGTATAAGTGGGTTGTTTTCAATCGCTGAAAGATTGATTTAGAGGGGAAAATAAAGCTTTCCGTTTTTACCTGAGATTATAGTTTGTGGGTCTCGATAAAGTTTATCCTCATTTGCCCAGTCTACTGAATACAGTAAAAGATGTTTCAGAACTTGTTATAGTAACGGTAGATACACATTTCTCCCCTTACAAATTATTTTTACCTGTATGTACACATTAAAATTCTTTTTGACAGTAGATACACATTTCTCCCTTTGCTAAATAACAAGTTTTTTTTCTTTCTCTGTTTCCAGAGGTGACAAATTTCGGACAGCTTGTTAAAAAAGGTTAGTCAGGTTGTGAAAATTGTCTTAATGAATGTGTCGTAGGTCAGGTTGTAAACATTGTCTTAATGAATGTGTCGTAGGTCAGGTTGTGAACATTGTCTTAATGAATGTGTCGTAGGTCAGGTTGTAAACATTGTCTTAATGAATGTGTCGTAGGTCAGGTTGTAAACATTGTCTTAATGAATGTGTCGTAGGTCAGGTTGTAAACATTGTCTTAATGAATGTGTCGTAGGTCAGGTTGTAAACATTGTCTTAATGAATGTGTCGTAGGTCAGGTTGTAAACATTGTCTTAATGAATGTGTCGTAGGTCAGGTTGTAAACATTGTCTTAATGAATGTGTCGTAGGTCAGGTTGTGAACATTGTCTTAATGAATGTGTCGTAGGTCAGGTTGTAAACATTGTCTTAATGAATGTGTCGTAGGTCAGGTTGTAAACATTGTCTTAATGAATGTGTCGTAGGTCAGGTTGTAAACATTGTCTTAATGAATGTGTCGTAGGTCAGGTTGTAAACATTGTCTTAATGAATGTGTCGGCATCTCTTCTCATCAGCTCCTACCCCCCGTGTCACCCCGTGTCACGGATTAAATTATGTAACAAAAACATCGCGTTATTTGTTTGAATTGTCGACATCTGAGAACCAGTTTCTTTCAGGCATCAATTTGGCGGGGTGGGGGTGGGGGGTGGGGTATAGGGGGGGGGGCAGAAAAGACACCCTACTCTTCCTCCTTCGCTGGAGCACACCCACCGCTCTACTGGAAGAAAAAAAATATAATTTATAAAGAAAATACATACTCCCACGGACATTTAAGCACACCCAATACCGAATGTTTTAACTGCCTACACGGAGGAAAAAATGTCTGAAAGAAAAACTGATCTGGGTCTATAGAGAATTTAATACTTTTAAACATGTTAAAGCTTTAAGTAAATTAGAGATGCGTGGAGATAGAAGTTGGTATAGAAAGTGGCAACAACCAAAAGTCAATGATAGCTAAACAGGGAAGCGAGCCGTTATGTACAGATGATACCAATATATGCCAGTTTAACCACTCGGTAGACTAGACAAACACGGACCACCCATCAGTAGACTAGACAAACACGGACCACCCATCAGTAGACTAGACAAACACGGACCACCCATCAGTAGACTAGACAAACACGGACCACCCATCAGTAGACTAGACAAACACGGACCACCCATCAGACAAACACGGACCACCCATCAGTAGACTAGACAAACACGGACCACCCATCAGACAAACACGGGCCACCCATCAGTAGACAAACACGGGCCACCCATCAGTAGACTAGACAAACACGGACCACCCATCAGTAGACTAGACAAACACGGACCACCCATCAGACAAACACGGACCACCCATCAGTAGACTAGACAAACACGGACCACCCATCAGACAAACACGGACCACCCATCAGTAGACTAGACAAACACGGACCACCCATCAGACAAACACGGACCACCCATCAGTAGACTAGACAAACACGGACCACCCATCAGACAAACACGGACCACCCATCAGTAGACTAGACAAACACGGACCACCCATCAGACAAACACGGACCACCCATCAGTAGACTAGACAAACACGGGCCACCCATCAGTAGACAAACACGGGCCACCCATCAGTAGACTAGACAAACACGGGCCACCCATCAGTAGACAAACACGGGCCACCCATCAGTAGACTAGACAAACACGGACTACCCATCAGTAGACTAGACAAACACGGACCACCCATCAGACAAACACGGACCACCCATCAGTAGACTAGACAAACACGGACCACCCATCAGACAAACACGGACCACCCATCAGTAGACTAGACAAACACGGACCACCCATCAGACAAACACGGACCACCCATCAGTAGACTAGACAAACACGGGCCACCCATCAGTAGACAAACACGGGCCACCCATCAGTAGACTAGACAAACACGGGCCACCCATCAGTAGACAAACACGGGCCACCCATCAGTAGACTAGACAAACACGGACCACCCATCAGTAGACAAACACGGGCCACCCATCAGTAGACAAACACGGGCCACCCATCAGTAGACAAACACGGGCCACCCATCAGTAGACTAGACAAACACGGGCCACCCATCAGTAGACAAACACGGGCCACCCATCAGTAGACTAGACAAACACGGACCACCCATCAGTAGACTAGACAAACACGGGCCACCCATCAGTAGACTAGACAAACACGGACCACCCATCAGTAGACAAACACGGACCACCCATCAGTAGACAAACACGGGCCACCCATCAGTAGACAAACACGGACCACCCATCAGTAGACAAACACGGACCACCCATCAGTAGACTAGACAAACACGGACCACCCATCAGTAGACTAGACAAACACGGACCACCCATCAGTAGACTAGACAAACACGGGCCACCCATCAGTAGACTAGACAAACACGGACCACCCATCAGTAGACTAGACAAACACGGACCACCCATCAGTAGACAAACACGGGCCACCCATCAGTAGACAAACACGGGCCACCCATCAGTAGACTAGACAAACACGGACCACCCATCAGACAAACACGGGCCACCCATCAGTAGACTAGACAAACACGGACCACCCATCAGTAGACTAGACAAACACGGACCACCCATCAGTAGACAAACACGGGCCACCCATCAGTAGACAAACACGGGCCACCCATCAGTAGACTAGACAAACACGGGCCACCCATCAGACAAACACGGACCACCCATCAGTAGACTAGACAAACACGGACCACCCATAAGACAAACACGGGCCACCCATCAGTAGACTAGACAAACACGGGCCACCCATCAGTAGACTAGACAAACACGGACCACCCATCAGTAGACTAGACAAACACGGACCACCCATCAGTAGACTAGACAAACACGGGCCACCCATCAGTAGACTAGACAAACACGGACCACCCATCAGTAGACTAGACAAACACGGACCACCCATCAGTAGACAAACACGGGCCACCCATCAGTAGACTAGACAAACACGGACCACCCATCAGACAAACACGGACCACCCATCAGTAGACAAACAAGGCCACCCATCAGTAGACAAACACGGGCCACCCATCAGTAGACTAGACAAACACGGACCACCCATCAGTAGACAAACACGGGCCACCCATCAGTAGACAAACACGGGCCACCCATCAGTAGACAAACACGGGCCACCCATCAGTAGACTAGACAAACACGGGCCACCCATCAGTAGACAAACACGGGCCACCCATCAGTAGACTAGACAAACACGGGCCACCCATCAGTAGACAAACACGGACCACCCATCAGTAGACAAACACGGGCCACCCATCAGTAGACTAGAAAAACACGGATCACCCATCAGACAAACACGGGCCACCCATCAGTAGACAAACACGGGCCACCCATCAGTAGACTAGACAAACACGGGCCACCCATCAGTAGACTAGACAAACACGGGCCACCCATCAGTAGACAAACACGGGCCACCCAACAGTAGACTAGACAAACAAGAGCCACCCATCAGACAAATACGGGCCACCCATCAGTAGACTAGACAAAAACGGACCACCCATCAGTAGACTAGACAAAAACGGACCACCCATCAGTAGACTAGACAAACACGGGCCACCCATCAGACAAATACGGGCCACCCATCAGTAGACTAAACACGGGCCACCCATCAGTAGACAAACACGGGCCACCCATCAGTAGACTAGACAGACAAGAGCCACCCATCAGTAGACACAAACGCGGACCACCCATCAGACAAACACGGGCCACCCATCAGTAGACTAGACAAACACGGGCCACCCATCAGTAGACTAGTGTAACACGGGCCACCCATGTCCGAAAGTGCAGCTGTCCAGATGAGCACTCATTAGAGGATTAGATTAGTCCTGTCTGGCTACTTGAGATAGCTGTGTAAATCTACTCAGGCGCCGATTGCCTTACACACTCTCTGGCAGAAAACCAAATAAGTCGTGGTCAAACACAAATCACATTATGTTATAAACAAGTTTACATCAGTGATGGCTACATACACATTACACTGTTATAGACAACTTTACATGGGATATTTAATGACATTTTTAAGAAGCTAATTAAAATAATATACACAAATCAGGGGCGTAGCGAGGGGGGGCGGGGGGTGCGGACCGCACCGGGTGACACCATTTAGGGGGGTGACACCAAGGCAAAAAGTAGCAAAATATATAGAGAAAACCTTGAGGGGGTGCAAATCGAAAGTTTGAGGGGGGGGGGGTGCAAATCGAAAACTTGAAAGTTTGTCCCCGGTCGCTACGCCTCTGGGGGTGACACCATTAAGTGCCGCACCGGGTGACATCCGACCTTGCTACGCCACTGACACAAATAATACATCGTTTTGGATTAAAGTTGGTGATACATTAGGATTATGATATATTTCATCTCAGAAATGAATATCTCGATTTTAATATGTATTTTATACACCGAATGTTGCATTAATGGTAGCACAAAAAAAATGAGTTTTAGCAAGATATTATAATACACATTTATCGTTAACTGGAAAGCTAAGGGAAATGTAAATACAAAAAAAGTCAAGAAATGCCAGTGGTATTTTAAATTGTACATAAAATATCCCCATCATCTTTAATTATGCCTTCCCAAACGTTTAAACAAGATGTGGACAATCCAAATAATAAAGTTAAAAAACGCTAGTGTGATTTGCTATTGTAAACTGTGTTACAACTGAATTTCTTATCTCTCCACAGCGATGTTGAACAACGGATGGATGTAGAGCCGGGTGGACGAGACTTGCAGCAGCTACCGACGCTGCTTGTCTATCTCTGTCTGTCCAGTCTAATCATTAAAACTTGAAACACTATGTCAGCTCTTTGTTGTCTCATCATGGTTTAAATTGGCTCAAAAGTATCGGTTAAAATATCAAGTCTTTGTGGTCAAATACTGGTTTAACTTGCGTCAAAAATATGGATTAAATTAGCATGTTTTTGTCGTCTAATGCTGGTTTAAATTGGGTCAAAAGTATTGATCTATTTGTCAAGTTTTTGTGGTCAAATATTGGTTAGAAGTGGGTCAAAAACACAGATTTCTTTGTTATCAAGTACTAATTTATAGTTTTTCACAAAATCGATGATATAATGTTAAGTTTACTTTTACGTTATCAAGTACTGGGTTATAATGGGTCAAAATACTGATGAAATAGAAAAAATATTTATCAAAACTGATTTATACATAATACATAATTTTTTAAATCAAAATACACCTTTTACCGTTTGTCCTTGATGCAATTAAATGTTGAAATCTTTGCTTTTGTTTTTCTTTCTTTTTTGCTTTAAAGATAAAATATTAAAACTTACGAATACGCGTCAGATAATCAGATAATTATACAAACAGAATTATTATTTAGACGATTTGTTGGTTTAAAAGCACGTAGACAAAGCGCTCTATTGACAAGATGTAGGGTGGCTGCTAAAATTATTATTAACTTAACTGTATCAATTAGTAGGACGCCGCTGTTCAACATTGAGAATGGTGAAATCAATCAAAACTATTTTTTTTAAATTTAAAAACAAAATGGCCAACATTGCCGAGATTATCTTGTGGCCACTGTCACTGACAGACGAGACTAGCTTATACAATCAAAATGTATGCGACAACAATTACATAGTGATACATTATATCAATAACTACTTACGTAAGTTATATTTCAGTAATTACTGTATACGTTCCTACAATGGTAATATATTAATAAATACACGAAATTACAACACTTACCGACATTGATTTTTTTTAAAGGCAACCAAAGGATTGTTTTTACTGGGTAAAACTGTGATGCCTAGCGTCAAATGGGAACATGCTATTCACTCACACAAAACTAGACGGAGTTTAATGCTGAGCTGAGTTTTAATACCGTCTGTAGCGTCGACTGGCTAGTGAACAGATATCTAGAGCCAACAGCGTCAAACATACCCGTTACCAATCAATAAATCTACGAGATCAGCAGATAGCTTTGGGACGGGATTTACGATGTTTATTACAGTGGTCTAATGTCACACTGCACAAGTAGGCAAAATTTGACCAATAATTTTAGGCAAATATCGCATATATAACCTGAACACTAGCTATGACTGGTATTGGAGATTCTCTTAAACAAAACAATCCACAATTCGTTTTTTTTTAAATAAGCGCGAAATTATTATTGTTTTTAACATCATTTAAATCGTAAACATGCAATGTCCTCAGCATTGGAAAAACGATTGCTACCTTGAAAGAAGCTTTAAAATAAAAGATCAAGTGTAATTTGTTATGTGGTTTGTTGTACATCAACAAGATTGGGCCAATAACTGCTTGATTGTTTCAGCGCATGAAGATGAAATGTTGATTAAATAAATTGCTCCTCTCTTTAAAAAAGAAACAACACCTCGCTGATGGGAAGTTACTAGAACAGACGCGCACGTCCAGGGGAAATGATGTGCACATCATGTTTAATGGGCTTAATTAGATGAATAATTTATAGATCTTTACATTAACAGTGTGTCACACATTTATTTATTTTCTTATTAACGTGTTTCCATTTTTTTCGTATAAGCTTAAGGATAAAAGATGGGTAACAAAATCATATGAAAAGAATTACAACATCGATCTAAACAAAGTAAACTAACAATTTTTTTTAAAAAGTCGTTTTTACCTGAACTATTAATGACAACATGATTCACGTATGGCAGCCTGCGGCTCCAGGGCAACATACATATTTTCTTTCGATCAGTCTACGTGGCTCTTAATTTGTGTTACTATAGTATGCTTGGGAATCTATGGTTCACACACAAAAAAGGAACCACAGCACTTGACGTGTTTTAAAACATTCTTTACAAAGATTCTATTCTTCGGTGGGTAGGCCATGGTATAACGTCAACATTGGTTGGTAGATTGAGGTATAAGGTCAAATATGGATTTGGTAGATTGAGGTATAAGGTCAAATACGGATCTAGGTTAGTAAATTGAGTTACAAGATCAAGTGATGACTGTTTCAACAAGTCCGATAAGAATAATTTTTAAACCGCCAATACATAATTTCTTTTTAAATAGCTACTAACACAGGTAAAAATCACTGTAAAAGTATAAATAAACAACAGTTATATATAACTCCAAGTTGCAACAATTAAAGGAAACAGAAAAATCAAGTTGCAAACCACACTAGGAAAAGTTATGAAAAACTCAAAATCCGTGCTATGTTCCGTATCTTTCATTTATTTTTTGTTTGCATTCGTGATTTTAATTTGCTTCAAACAGATGTTTTTTTTTCTTTTTAAAAATGTTACGTTAATATTTTAATCGAATACTTAGGTAAAAATTGAAATCAAAGTACCCGAGGTTGGGATTCTTTAACGTACTTGGCTAGCTGAAAGTACACCAAGAGTTATGGGACATAGTAGAAAAGCTTTAGTGCTTTTTGTTACTTTACAGCTAAAAACCAAGTTAAAAATAAGAACATTTTAAATTTGTTTCGTGATGGTTCGACTCTTTAAAATTTGATGACGTTTACTCAGTCTCTCTTGTTGATCATTCATTATCTGTCAGAGGAAATTGGGGGAATACATGTGAAAGGAGCTTCAAGTTAGTTAAATCAGATGCGGTATCCGTTAAAGCAATATTTTAATATTTTACTTCATTATAAAAACCAGATTTTAGAAGTACTGCAAAACACATGATTAACATGTAATACAAAAGTGACCAAGCTAACGTAACAAATAGGCCAAGGAGAGAAATAATTTTTAAAATATCGTCAAACTTGTGCATGAATTTTAACACTCCCAAACGACTAGACTTAACTATTAACTAAGTCCAAGTCTTTTGAAGACCTGATTACAGACATTGAGTCTGTACAAATAAATCCAAGTCTTTTGAAGACCGGATTACATATATATTGTACAAATAAGTCCAAGTCTTTTGAAGACCTGATTACAGACATTGAGTCTGTGCAAATAAATCCAAGTCTTTTGAAGACCGGATTACAGACATATTGTACAAATAAGTCCGAGTGTTTTGAAGACTTGATTACAGACAAAGTCTGACACTGACTGCGATGGATCACTGACTCGGCGTCAGACGGTTATTAAAGAGCGCTCAACGAATACAGAAGCAGCATAACAGCGGAATCGTTCACATCGATAGGGAACTGGATGGACCATTATACAAGCATTAAGACCTGGGAGAGAGAGAGCAAAGGAGGAGGAGGAGGGGGGGGGGGGGGCACAACGCGATATTTAAATGAGCCAGAGGGTACATAGTCAGCACAAATTAAGGGCTGTGCTGTGGCCAGTATTTTATATCAGTCATACCAATTAGATTATGCGTATGTGTTTGTGCGGGCTGTGCATATATATATATATATATATATATATATATATATATATATATATATATATATATATATATATATATATATATATATATATATATATATATATATATATATAGGCCTATATATATATATATATATATATATATATATATATAATGTATATATTACTGTAGACGGACTTACCATGTAGTCTCCCATGATGTAAACATTGATTAACGCCCTTGTTTGGAATAGCATATCTCTGGGGAGATCTGTGAAATAAAAATATCACCCTAAGTCAACAAAAAGCTGGAAAATGCATGGACTCTGTGAAATAAGATGTTTATTGATGCTATGTGTTTATAAGAAGTTGATATCAGATTTAGGAAACAAATGTTTTGTATATAAAATCAAATCAATTTTTCGTGTAAACTGTAATAAAACTTAACAAGCAACACAATGGATGCCCGGATAATTAAAAAAACAAAGCAAACAAGTATATTCTTATAAATTATGAGTGAAACATCTTCTAGCTTAATAAAATCCAACCTTTTTCTTAGGTTGATTCTTTGAGTGTAGTGGAGGATTAAAGTTGCTATGAAGGACCCCCACTGCTGATGTAGTCGAGGTCACCCGGAGTTGGTTATAGAGTCGGGGGACGGGTCGACATTGGTTGAAGTGTCTGGGTTTCGGAAAAGTCTGTTTTGGTAGATATAATCTTGGACATTCGGTAGACCCTTGACCACGCATGCGCTGAGGGCGCTGCGATACAGACTCATATCGGTGGCATCATACCTGGCGAAATGACAGGTAGACAGTTGATAAAATAGCTACACCTGGCCCCATACTTCAGTGTAGCTACACCTGGCCCCATACTTCAGTGATTTAACTACCACACCTGACACCATACTTCAGTGATTTAACTACCACACCTGACACCATACTTCACTGATTTAACTATCACACCTGGCCCCATACTTCAGTGATTTAACTACCACACCTGGCCCCATACTTCAATGATTTAACTACCACACCTGGCCCCATACTTCAGAGATTTAACTACCACACCTGGCCCCATACTTCAGTGATTTAACTACCACACCTGGCCCAATACTTCAGTGATTTAACTACCACACCTGACACCATACTTCAGTGATTTAACTACCACACCTGACACCATACTTCACTGATTTAACTATCACACCTGGCCCCATACTTCAGTGATTTAACTACCACACCTGGCCCCATACTTCAATGATTTAACTACCACACCTGGCCCTATACTTCAGAGATTTAACTACCACACCTGGCCCCATACTTCAGTGATTTAACTACCACACCTGGCCCAATACTTCAGTGATTTAACTACCACACTTGACACCATACTTAAGTGATTTTACTACCACACTTGACACCATACTTCAGTGATTTAACTACCACACCTGGCCCAATACTTCAGTGATTTAACTACCACACCTGGCCTCATACTTCAATGATATTGTGCTTTGATCTTTTAATAAGAAGCCGAGCTCATTTGATTTTTTCTTCTCGAAAACTCTAAAGGTTACAATAGGCCAAAATGTCAAGTAGATTAGATAACATTTGAAATTGCCATTCCATTTTGTCAACACATTAAGAAAATTGACCCTGTCCTACCATTCGTCAGCGTTCGAGTCGTAACATTCCACATTAAAGATGGTTGTAACTCCGTTAAAGCCTCCAATAGCAAACAGCATGTCGTCAATTATCTAAAAGAATATGCAAATTATTCTAGATTAAATTGATTCCCGCTCCTTTGTTATAATAATTACACGATAGTTATTAGTTTTAATAGTTACACTTTAGGGCAGCTACTTTCAAAGATAAAAGGGAAATAACTTAAAAAACTATTTCCCCCTGCGAAATTCATTGTTCTTCCCCTTTACGTAAAAAATATATAAATTTGGTTGAATTATAAACAAAATTTGATTACAAAATTATATAAATAACAAAACTATGTATTAACACATTGTATATAACTAAACTATATTCTTTTTACAACATTTCATATTACAAAATCATATATTGTATGTTTGATTGCAAATAACTAGCAGTACTTCTCTTTGTAAAGAAATACTATTTAAATAACGAGTAAAGCTACTGTATCTGAAACATTTACTTTCCATTAGTTTTAAAGTTTATTTCAGCTTGTAAAAAAACGTGATTTTAACTATGAATTTCATTTTCTGTGGCTGAACGGAATACCAATTGTCTACCTACCTCTTTAGACATACCTCACCACCAATATTCCAGCCGACTTGCAACACAACTTATTACCAACTAGTATCCACCACTTCATTACACACACACACCCACCTCCCATAGTCCACCCACCTCTGTAGACCCGACTCCTATAGTCCACCCACCTCTGTAGACCCACCTCTCATAGTCCACCCACCTCTGTAGAGCCACCCCCCATAGTTCACCCACCTCTGTAGATCCACAACCCCAACTCCACCCACCTCTGTAGACCCACCTCTCATAGTCCACCCACCTCTGTAGAGCCACCCCCCATAGTTCACCCACCTCTGTAGATCCACAACCCCAACTCCACCCACCTCTGTAGACCCACCTCCCATAGTCCACCCACCTCTGTAGACCCACCTCCCATAGTCCACCCACCTCTGTAGACCCACCTCCCATAGTCCACCCACCTCTGTAGACCCACCTCCCATAGTCCACCCACCTCTGTAGACCCACCTCCCATAGTCCACCCACCTCTGTAGACCCACCTCCCATAGACCACCCACCTCTGTAGCGAAGTTGCTCCTGGGGCTGTACATCTCCGGGATGTCCACCCACCCCCCCCTAGTCCACCCACCCCCATGGTCCATCCACCTCTGTAGCGAAGTTGCTCCTGGGGCTGTACATCTCCGGGATGTCCACCCACCCCCCCTAGTCCACCCACCCCCATGGTCCACCCACCTCTGTAGCGAAGTTGCTCCTGGGGCTGTACATCTCCGGGATGTCCATCCACCCCCCATAGTCCACCCACCCCCCATAGTCCACCCACCTCCCCTAGTCCACCCACCCCCCATAGTCCACCCACCTCCCCTAGTCCACCCACCCCCCATGGTCCACCCACCTCTGTAGCGAAGTTGCTCCTGGGGCTGTACATCTCCGGGATGTCCACCCACCCCCCCCCCTAGTCCACCCACCCCCATGGTCCACCCACCTCTGTAGCGAAGTTGCTCCTGGGGCTGTACATCTCCGGGATGTCCATCCACCCCCCATAGTCCACCCACCCCCCATAGTCCACCCACCTCCCCTAGTCCACCCACCCCCCATAGTCCACCCACCTCCCCTAGTCCACCCCCCCCCCCCCCATGGTCCACCCACCTCTGTAGCGAAGTTGCTCCTGGGGCTGTACATCTCCGGGATGTCCACCCACTGGCGTGTCCTGGGACAGAATCTCTCCCCCGTGTTCATCCTGGTCACGCCGTTGAAGCCGCCCAGGGCGTAGATGCACTCGTTGTAGGCGATGACGCCGACGCCACTGCGCCTGTTGTTCATGTTGTTGATGAGCGTCCACTGGCTGGTGTCTGGGCTGTAGTACTCAGCCGAGTTCAGGCACTCCTGGCCGTTGAAGCCACCGCATATGTAAACCTTTCCTGGTCAATAGCAAACTAATGTTACACGTGTCAACCTTTCCTGGTCAATAGCAAACTTACACGGAAGATAAATGTAAGACAATGTCTAGTTGTACAGGAGAATGACTAGATAAATGGAAGACAATGTCAAGTTGTACAGGAGAATGTCTAGATAAATGGACGACAATGTCTAGTTGTACAGGAGAATGTCTAGATAAATGGACGACAATGTCTAGTTGTACAGGAGAATGTCTAGATAAATGGACGACAATGTCTAGTTGTACAGGAGAATGTCTAGATAAATGGACGACAATGTCTAGTTGTACAGGAGAATGTCTAGACAAATGAACGACAATGTCTAGTTGTACAGGAGAATGTCTAGATAAATGTCTAGTTGTACAGGAGAATGTCTAGATAAATGTCTAGTTGTACAGGAGAATGTCTAGATAAATGGACGACAATGTCTAGTTGTACAGGAGAATGTCTAGATAAATGGACGACAATGTCTAGTTGTACAGGAGAATGTGTAGATAAATGTAAGACAATGTCTAGTTGTCCAGGAGAATGTATACATCAATGTCTAACCACCAGTGGTACTTGCCGTTCAGGGTTGTGGCCGAAGCGTCACTCCGCTGGTGGTGCATGGGTCTGATCAGACTCCACTGGTTCGTCTCCTTTGTGAACCTCTCGACCGAGTTCTGCCGGACGTGGCCGTCAAAGCCTCCCATGGCGTAGATGTGGCCGTCCAGTAGAGCCACACTGACGTAACACCTGACGGATGCAGGGGTCTGAATAAGCCAATTAACTTTCCTGTTCAAAAGTCTTACAGCCACAGAAGAAACGAGTTAAACTACTAAACTGGCACTACAACACTCACAGAGTCATGCCCTCCATGAGCAGACCAGGTGGCATACAGTACCTCACAATGCCAACCTCAAACTGTTTTAGACATAAGAAATAAACCAACCAACACCGACCTCTTCTAGACAATCTTAATGAGATAAACGACAGCAGCAGCCACTAATTGACTTCTTTTACAGATATCTGAAGTTTCAAATTCTTTGTCTACATACACTCACCTTCGAGTATTTACATCATAAAATCATAGTATGTAAAAGTTAGCATATTTCATCTCGCATCCATTGTTTACCTGCCAAGCTACCTAGAACACCTGCAGTAACCGTGTAAAGTGCAACATGTTGCAGTTCTAAACTTAGAAAGTTTTATTTCACAAGGACCGATACAGCCACGATGTTAAGGATGTGTGGATACTTATGGTGTTACAACTACTGGACGTTTACAAGGTCTTTAGGTCCCCATTATCCAATGATCCACGTCTATGTGGATACTTATGGTGTTACAACTACTGGACGTTTACAAGGTCTTTAGGTCCCCATTATCCAATGATCCACGTCTATGTGGATACTTATGGTGTTACAACTACTGGACGTTTACAAGGTCTTTAGGTCCACCTTATCCGATGGTGTGCTCTTCATGTTAAACCACGTCCTTTTAGTATCGTCCATCTCCTGCTTGACTACATTCTCAAACTCATTGTTCAACATCAATCTATTTTCATCTTTTGACATTAGGTCTTGTCATGTGATGATGTTAATCTTGTATCCAACCACACTACTTCAATGATATTTCTTTCTGAACTGCGGTTTGCCCACATAGGTCTGTTTATGTGTTAAATATTAAAACGTCTAGTTTGCTGAGCTTGAGTCTAGCAGTTGTTGGGTAAACATTAGACTCGCCGGTTCAAGCAATTATAGAGTAGAAAATCTAAATTAATAAAATAATATAAATGTAAATCTAGATTGCATTACTCATTTAATTCTAGAGTATTTTGATGCATAAGCGCAACCCTTTATAACTGCAGAAATATTATTTGTGTCGCGGTGATAGACGATAGAAGACTCCCACGCGTACTTTAAGCCAAACATGAGAAGCGTTAATCTGGCTCTGGGGTGTGGGAGCTTTAACAGGCGATGGAAATAGTTGGAAATTGGAGGCTATGAAAACCTGGGGTCTTAGAGGGGGGACAGCTACATCAACTGCAGGCTACACCTGCTACGGGCTGTGGATGACCATAACATTACATGAGACGTTGACAGATCGAATTAGCAGCAGAACAAAAGATAACTTCTGACCCTAATTGAACAGACGATTCAACTGTCCATGAACTTTACAGGAGAGGACGATAGCAAAATGTGTGTGCTTTGGAGGGGGGGGGGAGGGAGGAGTCCAAGAGATGGAACAGTAAGAAATATGTGAGAATACAGAAAGTATAAAGATAGCAAAGCTGTAGTATATAGGTGGTAAAGTTGTAATGTAATGGTGGTAAAGTTGTAGTATATGGGTGGTAAATTGTAGTATATAGGTGGTAAAGTTGTAATGAAAAGGTGGCAAAGCTGTAGTATATAGGTGGTAAAGTTGTAATGTAATGGTGGTAAAGTTGTAGTATATGGGTGGTAAATTGTAGTATATAGGTGGTAAAGTTGTAATGAAAAGGTGGCAAAGCTGTAGTATATAGGTGGTAAAGTTGTAATGTAATGGTGGTAAAGTTGTAGTATATGGGTGGTAAATTGTAGTATATAGGTGGTAAAGTTGTAATGAAAAGGTGGCACAGCTGTAGTATATAGGTGGTAAAGTTGTAATGTAATGGTGGTAAAGTTGTAGTATATGGGTGGTAAATTGTAGTATATAGGTGGTAAAGTTGTAATGAAAAGGTGGTAAAGTTGTAGTATATACATGGTAAAGTTATAGTATATAGGTGGTAAAGTTGTAATGAAAAGGTGGTAAAGTTGTAGTATATGGGTGGTAAAGTTGTAATGTAAAGGTGGTTAAATTTTAATATAAAGGTTGCAATGTGATAATAGGAGTCAGCGTAAACTGACTATGTCTAAACCTCCTCGGGGACTAAATATATAGTTCGCATCTCTTAATACACATAAGGTACACTAGAGATTTCAATGTTTCACAACTTGCATATCCCAATATTCAATCAAATCCTAAAAAAGAAATGTACTATCTAAAGACAAAACAAACAAACGTGCCAGCTTATATAAGAGTGACAGGATGAAAATAGCAAGAAATGAAAGGGCTAATCAAGCCAGCTAGGCTGTGGACATGTGCAGACAGCAACGAGATTAGAAGAACAAATGCCAGACAACAACCCATGCGATTAGTCTGTGGATCCATGCCCAAATTTATGCCGTCTGTCAGCACTTATTAGGCCTACACGGAGCCAGGCACGTCATCGACTGACGTCATCGACTGACGTCATCGACTGACGTCATGACGCCCCCGTCTCGCAGAAATGAAAGATAACTCAGCATGCAAATATTCCAGACAAAAATATCAGAATATATTTGATCAAGATAATTGTTTACATTAGGAAAGGGATTTAAAAAATGGGTAAATATCCTGTCAAGAAATTACCATTAAATGTAAACAATTTAGTCACTTGGAACAACAAACGTCAACGTCACTTCACTTATTAAGACGATAATTGTGTATTTTTAATTAGCATAAAGTATTAATTAACTGGCTTCAGATTAAAATTAGTTAAAAACGCAAGATTCACGAGCTAATTTCTATTCTGCTCTTTATTGGCATTCCTTAATTTCAACTAAAACAACTTTAGGAAATAATCTCTCTGTTACTTCTCGTCTGTTTTCTTTCATTCTATTCTATTGACTTTTATTTCAGAAAGAGCAAATGCATCAGCTTACATCGAGATTGTCTTTAAATAACATATAGCGAAAACAATCATTCAATAACTCTTCAAGAGAAAATCTGTTGACCAGATGAAGCTCACTAGGTGTCAAACTGTGGCCATCACTAGTTGCCTCTTGCCAAAATTCTGCAACGCCCGACTTGTCAGGCCAGAGGTTCTCATTTTGACAAGACCTGGGTGTGTCTAGGCTTGCGTTGAGGACAAAACTTGAACATTCGTTACATCGACGAATACAGTAAACGGCAAAGTACAGTCTAGAGCAAGTTGAGAATAAGTGGCGCAGCAGCTAGAGCAAGGTGGCCAAGCAGCTAGAGCAAGGTGGCCCAGCAGTTAAAGCAAGGTGGCCCAGCTGCTAAAGCAAGGTGGCTCAGCTGCTAGAGCAAGGTGGCTCAGCAGCTAGAGCAAGGTGGCCCAGCACATAGAGCAAGGTGGCCCAGCTGCTAGAGCAAGGTGGCCCAGCTGCCAGAGCAAGGTGGCCCAGCAGCTAGAGCAAGGTGGCTCAGCAGCTAGAGCAAGGTGGCTCAGCTGCTAGAGCAAGGTGGCCCAGCTGCTAGAGCAAGGTGGCCCAGCAGCTAGAGCAAGGTGGCTTAGCTGCTAGAGCAAGGTGGCCCAGCTGCTAGAGCAAGGTGGCCCAGCTGCTAGAGCAAGGTGGCCCAGCTGCTAGAGCAAGGTGGCCCAGCAGCTAGAGCAAGGTGGCTTAGCAGCTAGAGCAAGGTGGCCCAGCTGCTAGAGCAAGGTGGCTTAGCTGCTAGAGCAAGGTGGCCCAGCAGCTAGAGCAAGGTGGCTCAGCTGCTAGAGCAAGGTGGCCCAGCTGCTAGAGCAAGGTGGCCCAGCTGCCAGAGCAAGGTGGCCCAGCTGCTAGAGCAAGGTGGCCCAGCAGCTAGAGCAAGGTGGCTTAGCTGCTAGAGCAAGGTGGCCCAGCAGCTAGAGCAAGGTGGCTCAGCTGCTAGAGCAAGGTGGCCCAGCTGCTAGAGCAAGGTGGCCCAGCAGCTAGAGCAAGGTGGCCCAGCTGCTAGAGCAAGGTGGCCCAGCTGCTAGAGCAAGGTGGCCCAGCTGCTAGAGCAAGGTGGCCCAGCTGCTAGAGCAAGGTGGCCCAGCTGCTAGAGCAAGGTGGCCCAGCAGCTAGAGCAAGGTGGCCCAGCTGCTAGAGCAAGGTGGCCCAGCTGCTAGAGCAAGGTGGCCCAGCAGCTAGAGCAAGGTGGCCCAGCTGCTAGAGCAAGGTGGCCCAGCTGCTAGAGCAAGGTGGCCCAGCAGCTATAGCAAGGTGGCCCAGCAGCTAAGGAGATAAACTAGTTAGTCTAGTACCTGGTGGAAATGATCTCTTGGTGTAAACAAAACTAGAATGTACGGTAGTATTTAGTGTTCGTGTGCCTATTTGATAACAAGTAGTTAGGGTTAATACAAGTAGAGTTATAATAATTTATGTATGTATTGTCCTAACCTATAGAAAGTGTATTTAATGTGTAAGTGTTGGTCTTGTAATACCTTCATGAACAGTTCAAACACTTTGCCTGATGTCCTGTATTTAAACTATCATTTTACAGAATATTTACACTATATTAGCGGTACAGTAAAGGATTAACTAAGTTACAGTAATTTTATATACTCAGTGTTTTAAACTTGGTTAATTAGGCTGACGATGTGCACCAAATTCTGCATTAAGTGACAGTAGGAAATGTTTCTTTTGATTTGCAGTTATATAGACCAAAGGAGGGGACAAAAGCACATTCAAATCTAGAGATATCATATACCCAGAAGGAAAGGACATAAACCGTTACATACATGGAGACATAAGAGATACCCAGAAGGGTGTGGGCAGTAGTATTTCCCAAGGGACAGTCCTTACCTTTTACAATTCATAGGCGGCGCCTCGGCCCAGACTTTGTTCACAGGGTCGAAGGTTCTGCAGCTGTTGAAGTACTCGACCCCATCAAATCCGCCAATGACGTAGATCGTATGGCCCATCGTAATCATGCCATGGTAGGCGCGAGGACCTGAGACAACAACAGAGGTCAACACTGGGACAGAGGGCTAATGAACTTGACCTTTTGTCCTACTAGGACATAGGACACCGAACAGAGCCTTCAACACGATCCTGCAATCGTCTCCTTAACTTTTTAACTTATATAAACCCAGCTTCCTAGTCTCAAAGTTTAGAATTTTTCTTTGCAGGCTTATGTTTTTCTTACTGTTTTGATATGTTGGCTGTGGGACTCCCGAGTGGGTGACCAGTCCCTCACCATCTTCACCCGATGGTTTCATTCTCAGCAGGTTGTGTTTTGTTAGCTGCCAGAGTTCTACATAATGTGAGCCAACAGGTCGGACCCACTCGTATGATGCATGTGTTACCAATACCCTGCTCGTATGATGCATGTGTTACCAGTACCCTGCTCGTATGATGCATGTGTTACCAATACCCTTCTCGTATGATGCATGTGTTACCAATACCCTGCTCGTATGATGCATGTGTTACCAATAACCTGCTCGTATGATGCATGTGTTACCAATACCCTGCTCGTATGATGCATGTGTTACCAATACCCTGCTCGTATGATGCATGTGTTACCAATACCCTGCTCGTATGATGCATGTGTTACCAATACCCTGCTCGTATGATGCATGTGTTACTAATACCATGCTCGTATGATGCATGTGTTACCAATACCCTGCTCGTATGATGCATGTGTTACCAATACCCTGCTCGTATGATGCATGTGTTACCAATACCCTGCTCGTATGATGCATGTGTTACCAATACCCTGCTCGTATGATGCATGTGTTACCAATACCCTGCTCGTATGATGCATGTGTTACCAATACCCTGCTCGTATGATGCATGTGTTACCAATACCCTGCTCGTATGATGCATGTGTTACCAATACCCTGCTCGTATGATGCATGTGTTACCAATACCCTGCTCGTATGATGCATGTGTTACCAATACCCTGCTCGTATGATGCATCTGTTACCAATACCCTGCTCGTATGATGCATGTGTTACCAATACCCTGCTCGTATGATGCATCTGTTACCAATACCCTGCTCGTATGATGCATGTGTTACCAATACCCTGCTCGTATGATGCATGTGTTACCAATACCCTGCTCGTATGATGCATGTGTTACCAATACCCTGCTCGTCTGATGCATGTGTTACCAATACCCTGCTCGTATGATGCATGTGTTACCAATACCCTGCTCGTCTGATGCATGTGTTACCAATACCCTGCTCGTATGATGCATGTGTTACCAATACCCTGAACTCTTTTATTTTGTTTTTTCTAAATGCTTCTCCGGTGTCCGCTCCAAGTCAGCTGTTTTCTAGTTGGTAAAGTGTACAAGAAATTAGAAACCAGACTTGACTAAAAAAAACGTTTCACCTGACAGGTAAGTCGAATCTCACCTGCATCCGCCACTGGGCAGACGACCCAGCGGTCGGCCCGTGTGTCGTACGTCTCCACCATGTTGGTCGGTGCCCCACCACTCCATCCACCAATCACAAACATCACCTGGCGAGTGTCACGTCACTTTTAGAAACTCTGGTCTGACTGTCATTTCATTAACTAACAAGTTAACAGTGGTATTTTTTTCTGTCGTTGAGGTGTAATTGTTTGCTGCTTTCACTAATCTAACACTACCTCAACTCTTTAATTTGATACTATCGATCTAGTGATTCAGGTTCAGTCTTAAAAGTAATTTAAAATTAGAAAAGTCGATCTTAATATGATTGTTTGAAATACTTGAAATATTTAAGTGATGAATAATAAAATCGAGAGGGCTCCTGGGTCTAGCTATAGGGTTGTCCACTAAACTAAAGTATGTGTAAACACCTCATGAAGAATCCTGGGTCTAGCTATAGGGTTGTCCACTAAACTAAAGTATGTGTAAACACCTCATGAAGAATCCTGGGTCTAGCTATAGGGTTGTCCACTAAACTAACGTATGTGTAAACACCTCATGAGGGATCCTGGGTCTAGCTATAGGGTTGTCCACTAAACTAACGTATGTGTAAACACCTCATGAGGGATCCTGAGTCTAGCTATAGGGTTGTCCACTAAACTAACGTATGTGTAAACACCTCATGAGGGATCCTGAGTCTAGCTATAGGGTTGTCCACTAAACTAACGTACGTGTAAACACATTAGGGATCCTGGGTCTAGCTATAGGGTTGTCCACTAAACTAACGTATGTGTAAACACCTCATGAGGTATCCTGGGTCTAGCTATAGGGTTGTCCACTAAACTAACGTATGTGTAAACACCTCATGAGGGATCCTGAGTCTAGCTATAGGGTTGTCCACTAAACTAACGTATGTGTAAACACCTCATGAGGGATCCTGGGTCTAGCTATAGGGTTGCTCATGTCCACCTCTCTCCTATCATCCATGTCCAGCTCATACAAGAACCTCAGCGTCTCGATGATAATAGGACGGCACTGCTCGCTGTCTTTAACGTATTCATGAGGCTTCACCTGGTGAGCAAAACATCCGGTCACAGGGCAACAGTCACGGGTTTGTACACACTCATTACAACAGACAAGTTCCCCTTCAATGGAGCTCGTATGACGCCATACAAAACAAAAACAAGTTTCAACAATCCACGAAAAACACAAATATGTTTAAACAGTTTGTTAAAAAATGTCTACATAAAACTAGTAGTCAGTAGACCTAGACAGACCTTCTCCATACAAACAACCCAGTAGCTTGTTAACCAAGATAGACCTTATGCACACAAAAAAACTTGTGGTCAGTAGACCTAGACAGACCTTCTCGACAAAAAACTTGTGGTCAGTAGACCTAGACAGACCTTCTCGACAAAAAAACTTGTAGTCAGTAGACCTAGACAGACCTTCTCGACAAAAAAAACTTGTAGTCAGTAGACCTAGACAGACCTTTTCGACAAAAAAACTTGTAGTCAGTAGACCTAGACAGACCTTCTCGACAAAAAAACTTGTAGTCAGTAGACCAAGACAGACCTTCTCGACGAAAAAACTTGTAGTCAGTAGACCGAGTCGGATGGTCCTCAGTAGGCGGGCGATGTGACGTTTTCTTCTATCAGGGCTGTAGTCGATCCACCGACACAAAGCATCAAACACCAGCTCCTCTGTTCTCACATTCAGGTGTTCTGACTGGAGTATCTCACACACCTGGGGAGGTCAACCGTTTAGCCACTTACGTTAAAACATGCACTCTATCACTATTAACGTGTTTTATGTTAGCCACCAAAACCCATAAGTTTGTGCAGATGTTGCTTGTGTCAGCTGTAGTGAGGATGTTGCTTGTGTCAGCTGTAGTGAGGATGTTGCTTGTGTCAGATGTAGTGAGGATGTTGCTTGTGTTAGCTGTAGTGAGGATGTTGGATGTGTCAGCTGTAGTGAGGATGTTGCATGTCAGCTGTAGTGAGGATGTTGCTTGTGTCAGCTGTAGTGAGGATGTTGCTTGTGTCAGCTGTAGTGAGGATGTTGCTTGTGTCAGCTGTAGTGCAGATGTTGAATGTCAGCTGTAGTGAGGATGTTGCTTGTGTCAGCTGTAGTGCAGATGTTGCATGTGTCAGCTGTAGTGAGGATGTTGCTTGTGTCAGCTGTTGTGCAAATGCTGGATGTCAGACGACGACGTGCAGTTGACTTACCTCGTCAATGTCCAGCTGAAGAAACTCGTTGCTGTTGGTATAGACGGACGTGAAGTTGACCAGGACGTACTTGAGTGCCTGCTGTTCCAGGTTCGAGCAGAAGTAGGTTTGTGCGAACTTTCGTATCCCGATGCAGTTATCGGCACACAGTTCTGATATGAGGAAATCACAACAGTCCTTAAGAGATGAAATAGCAATAATATTGTCAGTATCAAACTATTTGCTACATGCTATACACACACATGCGCACACACACACAAACTTAAGCGGCATAGAGAATTTAGATGAAAACAAGCTCACCATTTAACTAATAGAAATAGATGTCTGAAAATAAATTCTTTAATAGCCCGGTCTGTCATTAAATTGATTTAAGCCTCTCTAACATTGTAAAGTTGCTGTTATTTTAAAATACTAATGAACACAATAATTGTGTGTGAGTTAAACAGGCCTCCGTCACACCCATATAGAGGCTTGCAGCGGGGCTGGACTGATTAAGACTGGACCAAATCGTCGAATAGCTTGATTAGTACAAGAATTTTTAAACAATGGATGTTCCCGTCTAGACGAGATTTGCGACATACAACATAATAAATTAATATGTACCTTGACTAATCCCATGAAATGAAACTGGTCAGCCGCGGGCAACAGTTGCTCAACATTCGCTGACGTCACCTTGGCGTGTCGAGTGTAGGCGTAGTCAATGATGACCGACATGACGTCACTGTTCACGTGAGTTAACGTGATCTCGTGTTGATTGGTGGGGTTCTGCGCGGGAAATAAGAAACATGGAATGTTAGAACAGGCCTCATCGCATTTAAGTAAACAGTAATTAGCAAAGTGCTATTGTATATATTACAAAAGAATCGATACCTACCTTACATGTATCTATTAAACAAAAAATCAAACAGATACTTCGCTCACCTTCAGACAAGAATCAAACAGATACCTAGCTAACGTGTATCTACCAAACAAGAATCAAACAAATACCTACCTCACCTGTATCTACCAAACAAGAATCCAACAGATACCTAGCTCACCTGTATCTACCAAACAAGAATCAAACAGATACCTACCTCACTTGTATCTACCAAACAAGAATCCAACAGATACCTAGCTCACCTGTATCTACCAAACAAGAATCAAACAGATACCTACCTCACCTGTATCTACCAAAACAAGAATCAAACAGATACCTACCTCACCTGTATCTACCAAACAAAAATCAAACAGATACCTACCTCACCTGTATCTACCAAACAAGAATCAAACAGATACCTACCTCACCTGTATCTACCAAACAAGAATCAAACAGATACCTACCTCACCTGTATCTACCAAACAAGAATCAAACAGATACCTACCTCACCTGTATCTACCAAACAAGAATCAAACAGATACCTACCTCACCTGTATCTACCAAACAAGAATCAAACAGATACCTACCTCACCTGTATCTACCAAACAAGAATCAAACAGATACCTACCTCACCTGTATCTACCAAACAAGAATCAAACAGATACCTACCTCACCTGTATCTACCAAACAAGAATCAAACAGATACCTACCTCACCTGTATCTACCAAACAAGAATCAAACAGATACCTACCTCACCTGTATCTACCAAACAAGAATCAAACAGATACCTACCTCACCTGTATCTACCAAACAAGAATCAAACAGATACCTGTATCTACCAAACAAGAATCAAACAGATACCTAACTCACCTGTATCTACCAAACAAGAATCAAACAGATACCTTCCTCACCTGTATCTACCAAACAAGAATCAAACAGATACTTACCTCACCTGTATCTACCAAACAAGAATCAAACAGATACTTACCTCATCTGTATCTACCAAACAAGAATCAAACAGATACTTACCTCACCTGTATCTACCAAACAAGAATCAAACAGATACCTACCACACCTGTATCGACCAAACAAGAATCAAACAGATACCTACCTCACCTGTATCTACCAAACAAGAATCAAACAGATACCTACCTCACCTGTATCTACCAAACAAGAATCAAACAGATACCTACCTCACCTGTATCTACCAAACAAGAATCAAACAGATACCTACCACACCTGTATCGACCAAACAAGAATCAAACAGATACCTACCTCACCTGTATCTACCAAACAAGAATCAAACAGATACCTACCTCACCTGTATCTACCAAACAAGAATCAAACAGATACCTACCTCACCTGTATCTATTTAACAAGAATCAAACAGATACCTACCTCACCTGTACCTACCAAACAAGAATCAAACAGATACCTACCTCACCTGTATCTATTTAACAAGAATCAAACAGATACCTACCTCACCTGTACCTACCAAACAAGAATCAAACAGATACCTACCTCACCTGTATCTATTTAACAAGAATCAAACAGATACCTACCTCACCTGTACCTACCAAACAAGAATCAAACAGATACCTACCTCACCTGTATCTACCAAACAAGAATCAAACAGATACCTACCTCACCTGTATCTACCAAACAAGAATCAAACAGATACCTACCTCACCTGTATCTACCAAACAAGAATCAAACAGATACCTACCTCACCTGTATCTACCAAACAAGAATCAAACAGATACCTACCTCACCTGTATCTACCAAACAAGAATCAAACAGATACCTACCTCACCTGTACCTACCAAACAAGAATCAAACAGATACCTACCTCACCTGTATCTATTTAACAAGAATCAAACAGATACCTACCTCACCTGTACCTACCAAACAAGAATCAAACAGATACCTACCTCACCTGTATCTATTTAACAAGAATCAAACAGATACCTACCTCACCTGTACCTACCAAACAAGAATCAAACAGATACCTACCTCACCTGTATCTACCAAACAAGAATCAAACAGATACCTACCTCACCTGTATCTACCAAACAAGAATCAAACAGATACCTACCTCACCTGTATCTACCAAACAAGAATCAAACAGATACCTACCTCACCTGTATCTACCAAACAAGAATCAAACAGATACCTACCTCACCTACCTGGCTGGTGAACAGAGCACGGAAGAAGCTGCTGCAGGCAGAGAGGATGTTCCTGTGTATGGGAAAGACGACGTCCCCGACCCTGATGACGGCATCACACAGTTCTCCCTGCTCGCGCAGCTCTGCCAGGATGTTACAGGCCTGGGAATACAACATTGGTTGGTGTTCTAGAACATACAACATTGGTTGGTGTTCTAGAACATACAACATTGGTTGGTGTTCTAGAACATACAACATTGGTTGGTGTTCTAGAACATACAACATTGGTTGGTGTTCTAGAACATACAACATTGGTTGGTGTTCTAGAACATACAACATTTGTTCCAGTTCTAGAACATACAACATTGGTTCTAGTTCTAGAACATACAACATTGGTTGGTGTTCTAGAACATACAACATTTGTTCCAGTTCTAGAACATACAACATCGGTTCTAGTTCTAGAACATACAACATTGGTTGGTGTTCTAGAACTGACAATATTGGATGTAGTTCTAGAACATACAACATTAGTTTGTGTTCTATAACATACAGCATTGGTTCTAGTTCTATAACATACAACATTGGTTCTAGTTCTAAAAAATACAACATTGGCTGTAGTTATAGAACACAGAACACTGGCTGTAGTTCTAGAACATACAACATTAGTTGGTGTTCTAGAACATACACCATTGGTTCTAGTTCTAGAACATGCAACATTGGTTCTAGTTCTAGAACATACAACATTGGCTGTAGTTATAGAACACAGAACACTGACTGTAGTTCTAAATTGGTTTAATTATAGGATGTTACAGGCCTGGAAAGTGAATATATCATCGTATGCAGTTCTAGAACATAGAACATTACATGTAGTTCTAGAAATCAGAGCATTGGTTGCAGTTCTAGAACATTGAACATTGTATGTAGTTCTAGAACATTGGTTTAAATAGAGGATGTTAAAGGCTTGTATTGTGAATACAACATTATTTGCAGTTTGACTTCTAGAACATTGCAAATCCACCTTAAAAAATAAACGATGTCTATATGATTAATAGAAGGTTACTTAACTAGCTCATAAGAACGTTCATTTTGTTCTAGATTTTTACTGACACCAATATCCATGCCTCGGGTATTAACTTGTGAGATCAGACATTAATTTAGGTGACACAAAACAAACAGTTTTGTCCAAATTTTTCAGAAGCACATAATTTACTTCAAACCTTTCTCCTTAAATATACAAGTTATAAAACTGTTGGCTAATCTTTACAAAAGAACAACATTACTTATTTTAATATCGTATACCAGCCCTGAGGTTTGTAGATTTGCCGCTGATAACACATTCGTCATAATTTATTTAAACTAATTCCGTTTTGTTTCTATCGAGCAACCAAGCCCTTTTTTTTGTCATTATTTTTTTTTCTATTTTCGCGCACCCAAAGTCAATTTCTAATCGAAGGGTTCGGCTATGGAACAATATTTAAATTGACTGCAGGGAGTGTCGACAAATCTCCGTCAACAATCAGCGAACGGGTGTTTGGTAATGTTTTAAATGGACGTATTCAAGACCATCCTTTCATAGCATCGTTCCACTGATACCTACCGTAGCCCTAGATCTCAACTTAGCCCTGACACTCATCCTGGAAATAACACTGACCCTATTCTCCTAATCCTAACCATAGACTAATCTAGTCGATAGAAAAGATGGGGCTTCGTGCCCCCCCCCCCACCTCAAATCTTTTTTAAGATAACAGTTTGGGGAAAAGCTTATTAAAAATAAAGAAAGCTTTTGCATATTTGTAATACTGATTTTGTATATACATATTTCTGTTCTTATTGTTTACCTCTTGGGGGGGGATATAATGGCTAACCCCCTACTACAAACACATTCACACACGCAAATATACACACCCCACTTATAATATAACCCGGAGACTAAAAGCGATGCTGACAGAAAACAAAATTTCTTTAGTTTATGTACTGTCCAGTTCTTATTACAAAACCATGGGACTGACGTGTTGGTTTATCGTCTACAAATATTAAGAGGCTAACAAGATACATGAAATCAAACCTCAAGCTAATTAAACAACACAGCCACGTCTTATATATTAATTATCTGGCCTAACTCTCTATCATAAAGATTGCTACCTGATGAGATATGACACATCAAACAAGAGTCTAAAACATGACATCTTGAAGACTATCTACATTTGTCAGGTGCAATCTACCTCCTCTCACTTCTTCACTCTGTACATTGAGTTTATTTAGACAGGTTATTTTAACGGCTGGACATTACAGGTGTTAATGGGTGCTGTAGTTAACAACCTGATGCGCTGGGAGTGCCATAGAGCTGGAAATTCCCATAATGGACGGGTCAAAGGTTAATTCGCTTTCGGTTTTTCAAAAGATAGGAGCGGAATCATCAATCAAAGGTATTAGTTCATAGTTAGGAAAAAATTATTTTTGTCTGCCATGTTGTCAGTTACATTTATCGTGACATGATACTGGTAGTTATTAGAACATTGGCATTAACCCTTAATGTGTTCTGGCCAGTGTTTCTGTCAGACATCTCTTTGGGGGAAGGGGGGGGGGAAGATCCACCGTCCTCCCGGACCCCTACCGCCGGACTAAAAATTAATCTCTTTTCATTACAAGCTTGTATTTAGCTCGTAATTATGTTGATGTTGTATCGTTTGTTTGTGGGATGTGTGGCAAATCTTGTAGCTCAGTTGCTTTTAATGCAGCGATTTCATTTGAACTTTCCAGATGCATTCATCTCCGATGATAATGCAAGAATATCTACTTTTTTACTAAATATCAATTATTATGCTCGTCATAAAAATTCACTTTCAAATTACTGAATCCAATAATAAAAGGGTAGATAACAACAAGCGATCGCTAGATCAGCTAATCGATGACGCTGAACTATTTGTCAGGGCTGGTTGATTTCTTGCTCCAGAAACCGATAATTGTGCTCTAGATACTGAAAGCTACTGATCGGATTTTAAAACAAATATTTTTAGTCGTAGCCTATGTCGTGTCAACTTCATTTAGAACGAACTACTAAAAAGTGGAACATGAAAACACAAATAAAACCTTTATAATCACAAGCTTTTAAATGCACTGAAAATAAGAAAATAAAACAACCATGCTTTTAAATTAAAAGCTTAGATCTCAAAATATGTTTGAGGTTTTATGAGCACCCAAAGCTTTTATTAAAAAAAAGCAAATTTGTTTTTTTTTCCTACTTTAAAAGCTTATTATTATTAAGGTTTTTTTATATGTATTATTCCTCACACATATATTTTGCTTATTTGGCATATATTTTTACCACCTAATTTGTATTTCTCTGATTAGCAATAAGGCTGTAATATACCTCTGTTAATGTGAGGGACAGTGAGTAAAATAGAGATAGCATCAACTAAAGGGGGTTCTGGATCGCATGGGCGACACCCGACCTATTGACGCCACCGGTACTAATGGTACTAACGTGCTAACGCTAATGGAAGTACTAAACATTTTTTTTTTATATTCATTTTTTAATGGGTTGATTTTAATTACCGATTTCTTTCTTTCGAGTTGGTAACTGACTTTTTTTTTTTACAATATACTACAAAGCTGTTTGCAACAACGTTCGCATTCATATTAATCCCGACGCGCTAAACCTAATCGTACTTTGTTTTGTATCTTTCGATGACGATTCTCTCTTAGATTACTTATAAACTCTACCTGTGAACTGAAATCCGATTTCAGCGATGTGGACATCGCTGATTCTTCGGACACTGAATCGTCCTGCCGCGCATCGACGGCGGACATAGTGAAAGCTCCGCCAGGAGTAGGTCGTGACCGGGTCTAGTCTTTCCCTAAGTAAGAAAAATGTTGATTTCTCTTCCGGCAGCGATGGTAATTTGCTGGAATAAACAGTGAATGGTGGGATTAAACAAGAGAGCTTCTTGGTGTGCTGTGAAGCACAGCTCTCAGGTTTGAGAGTAGTGCACCCATTTCGGTGACGTAAAGCGTGTTTAAAAACAGTGCGAAAGTGTTCAGAACCATTCAGTTTCTAAATCACAAATTTGAGTCACATTTCTAACGAAAATAAATTTCAAGCTCTGAGTTTAGTAAAGTTAAAAAGTTATAAATCATAATAAATTATTACTTAAAATCATAAAGTATTAACAAATGGTAATTTTTTTTTAGTTTAATAACTTTATCATCAAATTCTCCTAGCAGTAACCAACAGACCAACCTGAACAATCATTTGAAAAATGTGAGCGCCCGGATTGCATTGATTCCAGATTTCGCTGCAGTATTGCACTGCGGTTTTTTTTTTATTCTTCCCAGAGTAGGCTATTTGTAACTTTTGTCCTAAAAGTTGTCCTTATCTTATTTCTGACAACAACCTAGCTGGATTAAAGAAAATTATTTTTCAAGCACCTAGATCAGATGAATGGCTTAGTAATGGTAGCAATGCTAATGAAACATATCTACCCCCCCCCCTTTCCAATGTCTGAACAATTGTTATGAAGGGGAAGGGGGTGTAAATATTCGTGAATTTATAACGCTGATTTTTTCACACCCCTACTCCTTTATTGGGACGCCATTAATGCGAACAGAGTTAGGGATAGACAATTTTATGAGAAGCGTATTTAGCGGTGTGTGATTCGGGGCGCTGGATGTCGATTTGTCCCAAATACACAAAGTTCGGCCCTGGATGTGCAAGTACCACACACCCTGTGTGAACAATTCACCACCAAACGACAGAAAACCAATGTGTTAGTAGTAAAGTTAACGAACTCAACCGCTGTGCAAGATTTTTCGTTTCAATTAACTTTTCAAAAAAGTGAAAAATCTGAAGTGTTGTTTTCTTTTGTAGGAGTTCGGTGCTTGTCGGGGAGAAACTTTTAGACACCGCTATTTTCATAACCCCGTCAATCAGCATAATCAGCTAATAATTACGCATATTCCTTATAAACATTCAGTTTAATCAGAATTGGCAGCAAGGCTTCATTTTTTTTTTACTATCACACTCCTCGAAGGTAAAAGTGAATCCACAAACTACCTACCGGAAATATGTGACTACATTTTTAAAAAATAAATTCTGACACTCGTGATGGTGAAGTCTAAAGAAGTCTGTTGATACAGCATGAAAAGTGTACAAAAGTGTACACCCGTCAAGTCTGGAGTGCCTCAAGTAGAAGTCTGTTGATACATCATGAAAAGTGTACAAAAGTGTACACCCGTCAAGTCTGGAGTGCCTCAAGTAGAAGTCTGTTGATACAGCATGAAAAGTGTACAAAAGTGTACACCCGTCAAGTCTGGAGTGCCTCAAGTAGAAGTCTGTTGATACATCATGAAAAGTGTACAAAAGTGTACACCCGTCAAGTCTGGAGTGCCTCAAGTGGAAGTCTGTTGATACATCATGAAAAGTGTACAAAAGTGTACACCCGTCAAGTCTGGAGTGCCTCAAGAAGTCTGTTGATACAGCATGAAAAGTGTACAAAAGTGTACACCCGTCAAGTCTGGAGTGCCTCAAGTAGAAGTCTGTTGAAACAGCATGAAAAGTGTACAAAAGTGTACACCCGTCAAGTCTGGAGTGCCTCGAGTAGAAGTCTGTTGATACATCATGAAAAGTGTACAAAAGTGTACACCCGTCAAGTCTGGAGTGCCTCAAGTAGAAGTCTGTTGAAACAGCTTGAAGTGTACAAAAGTGTACACCCGTCAAGTCTGGAGTGCCTCAAGTAGAAGTCTGTTGATACATCATGAAAAGTGTACAAAAGTGTACACCCGTCAAGTCTGGAGTGCCTCAAGTAGAAGTCTGTTGAAACAGCTTGAAGTGTACAAAAGTGTACACCCGTCAAGTCTGGAGTGCCTCAAGTAGAAGTCTGTTGATACATCATGAAAAGTGTACAAAAGTGTACACCCGTCAAGTCTGGAGTGCCTCAAGTAGAAGTCTGTTGATACATCATGAACAGTGTACAAAAGTGTACACCCGTCAAGTCTGGAGTGCCTCAAGTAGAAGTCTGTTGAAACAGCTTGAAGTGTACAAAAGTGTACACCCGTCAAGTCTGGAGTGCCTCAAGTAGAAGTCTGTTGATACATCATGAAAAGTGTACAAAAGTGTACACCCGTCAAGTCTGGAGTGCCTCAAGTAGAAGTCTGTTGAAACAGCTTGAAGTGTACAAAAGTGTACACCCGTCAAGTCTGGAGTGCCTCAAGTAGAAGTCTGTTGATACATCATGAAAAGTGCACAGCCAGCAGACCATGTTTTTGTTGAGCGGTTCAGACAGTGCGAGGCTGCAGAGCTCCGCTCATCTCTATACCTGGCGAGACGCCACGACAGGGGCTAGATAAATACATGCTAAACACATTAGCCTGCGGTGGGGGAGCTGATGTCTGGGGGTCAGGTAATGACGCAGGAGAGTCAATTCGCTGATACTTACATTCGTCAGACGTACGTGTTTGTAAGTGTCAGTTATATAATGAAACGTCTCTTAGACATTATCTCCAGGAATCTTAAAGAACTTTTTTTTTAAACATTGAACGATTACGGTCTGTTGTCCGTTTAGTGAAGAGACTCACTATCTTGTAAGATTGCTGAAGATACTAAAACTCTAAATCGATCGCATCACTAGAATAAGGTTTTTTTTTCAAACCACTATTTCTATGTAATAGTTTATCGTCGAACGTGTACTCTTGTTGTACATATAGACGCATCACTTTATGCAAATGAATCAATAATTTGATGGTGAGAAACGGCCAGTGGTTCTTGATTCTTGTATAGGAAAACGTAGCTTAAACGTTTAGTGAGTGGAGTGGGTGTAAGCTTTAAAGATTCCTCCAAAATAAAAACTTATAGCTCAAGAAAAAAAGGATGTAGGCCTACCACTTCAGAAATATCATTTTTAGAATAACAATTCAACAATCTAAACTATTAATCGACTAAAACTAAAAAGCAGCCATGTTATATTATTACATCTTAAAATAAATCAACATCAATAGCAAAAGTAATTTTTTTCCCCCACAAATCTATTCGAATATTGAAACAGATGAGTCGACAAGTTCGAATTTCGGAACAAACGAGCAGGGATGGACTGGCTGTGTCCGAGGGCCTGGAGAATTTTTAAAAGGGACCCCAAGTAAACCCCAGTCTAAAATGTAATTGTACATTTTTTTTCTCTCCGTTAAAGCTTTAATGTTACACCTTGGCATGAAGGAATGGTAAAATACCAACATTTTAAAAAATCTAACTCGGTTTTGTCTATTACAGTACCGGGAATTTTCCCGGTACACCGGCGGGACAGTCAACTCCCGCAGACGAATTAGTTTTTTTTTTGTTTCCCACAAATAAGTTCGTCTGTTGAAAAAGATAATGTATGTTGAAAAAGATGAGTCGAAAAAGTTCGAATGTTGATAGAGCCGAGTCGACCTTTTTGACATGACTGCAAAGTCCCAGCCAATGTCATCTATTTTCAGCAATGTGTTAACACAAACGAAGAACAAAAAAAACGATAATAAATACCCCGACAGTCATAACAACAACAATTCCGGGTCTGTAGGGTAGGGGAGAGGGGTGGGGGAAGACGTTAAGGACCAGAATAGATAACCATCAGTCCTGGACGTGAACGGATGTCTCTTAACAAAGTTAGATAAATAAACCGGCAGACGGTGTACCCGTAAGCAGACGAGATAAACGGTTTTTTTTTTTTCAAACATGGTTGATTTTTTTTTCCCATTTTCACTCCTGTCTAGACACAGCCTCTACGCCCACCCCCATTAAACGGTGATTTCAGTTGTTGCCTTTTTTTTCGACGCAGGAGATCGGTGCTCTCAAGAGCAAGTGATGAACGTCTAGTAAACCATCTGCAACTAGAGATGTTGTTTTTTTCTTCAGCGGCAAGGATGAAAGTTTTGTCGCCCTTGACTGCAAATGTTTTTTTTTCTTTTGACCAAGGCGAAAGAAGAAATGAAAAAAAAAGAGAGAGCGGTGAAGCTATATCATGAAGACGTAGCCAGGGGAAACTTTACGCCCTGAAGGTCTGTGGTCTCTGATGAAGTTTTACCACCCACGCAATCTGAATACCACACTTACAACCAGGGTCCCTGGATCCAGTCTAGTCAACCCCCCACCCTGAATACGCCACTGACAACAACACTGCTAGGCTTTGAGAACTTTAAAGTATCTTTAGTCCTATATATATATATATATATATATATATATATATATATATATATATATATATATATATATATATATATATATATATAGATATAGATATATATTTATATATATATATATATATATATATATATATATATATATATATATATATGTAGCTAGGGTGGGCCTAACTACTAGTTACAAATCTGATAACGAACGAGAAGCCGAGACGCAGTATTGCAGTCTGACGCAACATAACAGGTGGCTTATTGGGTCGGGCTGATAACAATCTCAAAGCCAACGCGTGCTATTTTGGGAGACGGTACGAGGAGTGAGACGGCCTGTCAACTTTGATTGATAGGATGCAGATGTTATTCCACGGACTGTATGTTAGAACTACGCAACTAGTGGTCGGAGACATCGAGTACAAGTATCGATTACGGAGGAATACAAGTACGGAGACGAGTACGGATACAAGGCATAAATAGGAGGGGACGACTGAACTCGTTCTCTTCCGTCGTCGTCGCTTGCTTTAGATCAGTCAGTCTGTGTGACATACTCAAGTTGGTTATATTGTGTTAAGAAGGACAATAGACATGTGGATTCAGTTATATGAAGCCTAGTGAGGACTGTTAGGGGGTCAGTTGATTCAGACTATTATTGTGAAACATTTCTGTTGATTCATTGTGTTATATTGAAACATTTCTTGATTCATGTAATAAAAGGATCAATAGCGAACCTGCATCTTCGAGTCTTTCTACTGTAGTCGATGTTGTGTAGCATGAGTGGTTCAACTCGTTACAATTGGCGTTGTCGGGCAGGATAGACTCGGGAAAGGTCA